TTCCCGCCTCCATCCAGTCAGACAACAGCCTGGCCTTCACTTCTCAGGTTGTCCAGCTAGTCTCCAAAGGCCTCAACGTCACTTGGAGGCTCCACATCCCCCACCAACCCCAATCCTCGGGTAAGGTTGAGAGGCCTAACGGCATTCTCAAGGATCATCTCACTAAACTTGCTATTGAACTCAGGCTCTTCTGGCCCCATCTCCTGCCGTTGGCCCTCACCTGAATTCAGGCAGCCCCAAGGGCCCCCTCAGGCCTTAGCCCCTTTGAGCAACTCTATGGGTGCCCTTTCTTAACCACCCAAAGCTTTCCAATCACTCCTCCTCCCCTCGTGTCCTACCTGCCCTATCTCACACTTCCACACAAACTCCTAAGGGAACACGCAGACCAGTGCCTTCCTGCGCCATTCACTGCCTCAATCCCAGCACAATCACAAACTGAATTGCACCCTCTTCAACTGGGTGACTCAGTCTTACTTCAGAAACTGCATCCTCAATCATTGGAACCTCGCTGGACGGGACCCCATACGGTCATACTTACTACCCCAATGGTGGCCAAGCTTTTGGGCCACTCCCCCTGGTACCATGTCTCCCGCCTTAAAAAGGCACCTGTTCCAAATGTCCAGTCCTGGACTTCCACCACGCCCACCAAACTCAAAATTTCTCACCAACCCTCTTCTTCTTTTACTAATCATCAATCTCTCTCAAGTTTTTATCTCAAACCACAGATGCCGCTTCTACATCCAAGCGACATGGCACCGGGATGACACCACCCACTCTCAGTTTATGGGTCAAGGCAATTGCCCTTCCACTGGCTGCAATCGGGCTGTCACCCTTAACATGACTGGATTCAACCAAGCCACCTCCGATACTTCCTAGAGTCCCTGCTACAGGACCAGTGGCTGATACCAAGAATCTCCTCCGTCCAGGACTGGTTTGATGCCATCGACGACTTGTGGCTTCAAGGAACTTTTATGGACTTTACCCCCACCACAGTAGTTGTCTGTGGCCATTGAGTGTTATTTCTGGCTGCCCTGGTGTTCTCAGACCTGTCCCCAAACATTCCTCCACTTTCCTTCCTAGGTCCCACGCCGCCCACCATTAAGCAGGAAGTAGCTAGAGGACTTTACGACGTCCCCCGTGTCACTTAGAAAAACAAAAAGGGAGGAATGTTAGGTGCAGGACAGGCTGAGTAAGCTGTCTGCAGGGCATGCCAAACAAAGTTAGCTGCAGGGTGACCTGGCCACTCAAACCCTCTGTCTGGTTCTTTACCACCTGTTTGCTTCAAGTCTAAACACCCAAGCCCCCGCTCAAGGCTGAACACTCAAATCCTCCCCAACACTCAACTCCCCCCCAAGGCTGAACACTTAACCCCCCTTGCACCAACAAGGCAGCTTGCAGATCCAGAGACCCCGTTAGATCTTGGCTTAAAAACTCCCTCCTGTGCTGGGCCCCTCTCTCTTGCTCTCTCTCTGTCTCTCTTGCTCTCTCTGTCTCTCTCTCCTTCTCTTTCTCTCTTTTCTCCTCTGTTGCACTGCTGCAATAAAGATCTCTTGGTTGCTCCATGTGTTGTGGTCACTTTCCTTTCAGCAAGAATTTAGGGTACCACTGTCTCCCTATCTCTGTGGTTTCCCCTTCCAGAAATAATAACTTTGAAATTGTGCACCATTCCTAGTGGCATGATGAAATCTCTCACCACCCTCTCTCACCTGCCCAGGATGTGAGTCATCCCGTCGTCAAGCATATCCACACTGTATATGCTACCTGCCCGTTAGTCATTTAGTACTATCTCAGTTATCAGACTGTTGCAGTATTTCAGTGCCTTTACACAGACTTCAGGACTGTCTGCGGTTTCAGGATCCGCTGGAGGGCTTAGGACAGATCTCCCACACCTAAGGAGACTACCGTATTTGTGATGCTCTTCCTGCAGGCCCTGGTTTTGGCAGCCACGGTATTCCAGGGACTGTGTCTGTCCAGGTGGCCCCTTTCCCAGGACAGCAGCTTTTGCTGGGTGCTAGCAATGGCACAGCCCTTGCCCCTTCAGCACCAGAAGCGGTAAGGATTCCAGTGTGGCTAGTGGGTAGTGGGTGTCGCACCATCTCTCAAAGCTGCCCATGAGCTATGCACAGCCACCTCATTACATTCTTCTCAATGACCCCTTGGTACCATCTGCTCCCTGCAAACACCTGATGAGTCCCAGCACTCAGTTCATCCACTGCCCACCTACTCCCTCAGCCCAACTGGAGACAGAGCTCAAGATGCTGACCTAAGCCAGGGAGGAATTGATCCCACCCTTGCTCTGGGTGATAGCATGAGACCAGGTGAGACTCAGACCAGGTGCCAGGCAGACGCCATCAGGCCTCACTGGTGAAGACATGCAGGAAGACAGGCAAGAAGTCTCCACTAAATACTTTTAAATTGTGCACCATTCCTAGTAGCATGATGAACTCTCTCACCACCCTCTCTAACCTGCATGGAATGAGAATCATCCCTTCGTCTAGCATATCCACACTGTATATGCTACCCTCCCGTTAGTCACTTAGTAGCTATCTCACAACAGAGCTCCTTCATCAGCCCACGAGGTCTATAGCATCTAACGAAACCTCCTCTGTCCGACCAGGGGCTTCCTGCATGCTGGGCTACATCTCACTCATTTTCCCCCTTATTATTTCTGACATCTAGCCTGACCACAAACACCTTCTCAGTGCACAATGGAAAGGCACAGAATGATAAATACATGACTCCTGCCACCTAGCAGGGAGCAGGCAGGATGGGGTACACTGGTGTCCAGAGCATGGTCCCTGCTGCAGGCCACCTGGGCTCAGGCCCAGTTTTGTCTCTCACTCTTGCATGTGGTCTTGGGCAGGTCACCAGGGGGTGACCAGCTTGTCCCATTTTCCTGAAACTATCCTAGAAAAGTTCTATGTCCTGGGATTCCCCCTTCCTTAGTCCCAGGGAAAGTGGCAGAGTTGTGCGCCCTCCTCGGCCTCCCCACGCCTGAGCTTCCCTGTGAGACGCTCACGGCCGGCTGAGTCACCGCAGCCCAGGAACTGGGACCTGGCACTGGGGAGCTTCACAGGCTGGTCTTCTGGGTCGCTTTCCCCAGAAGCAGGGCTGGGAACAGCCGCTGGCAGCATGCAGGGTGTTTGGGAATTGGCTCCAGGAAGCACAGAAGCAAAGCGAGGGGAAAGGACTACAAGGCATACCAAGAAAATGAACAGGTGCCTCCCGGCAGCTGGTCTCCGTCCAACCAAGGCCTCCGAGAGCCGGTGTCTGGTTTGTCTGGAGGTTTTTGCTTTGTTTCTGTTTCTTTTTGATACTGGCGTTGAACCCAGGGGCCGTTGCCACTGAGCCACATCCCCAGCCCTTTTCATTTTTTAAATTTTGAAACAAAGACTCACTAAGTTGCGGAGGCTGGCCTCAAACCTTCCATCCTCCTGCCTCAGCCTCCCCAGTCTCTGGGATTATAGGTGGGTGCCACTTTGTCCAGCCTCTGGGAGCCTGTGGAGAACATGCCTCTGGGTTGTCCCCTCCAAGGGCAAGGAAGCTGGACTTACAATCCCCAGTCTCTTTTCTCTTTTCCTGAGGGCAGCTCCCTGGTAGGGAGGTTCTGAATCTTAGCACCTCTGGGTAAGAAGCCTGCAGAGGAGACAGGAGTGGTGAGCACAGAGTGGGCTGGGCTCTGCCGCATCGGCTACATACGTGCTAACCATTCTTACAGGGCCCAGGAGGCTGAGAGAGGGGACACTGCTATGGAAGGGCAACCGAGGCAGCAGGAGATCGTGTGTGGATGAGCTCTGGAGGGTGAACAGGGAGTCTCCAGGCAAAGGAAGAGGCCCTTGGTGCATGGGTGAGTACACTCTAAATGGCTAAGCAGGTGCCACCTAAGTCGAGAGTGATTCAAATGCTGGGGTGGAGAGGGCTGACTCAATACAAAGTGACAGGCAGCAGCCAGCAGAGGCAGTGACACGTCTGCTTGATGGCATCAGGAAAGGCTGGATCAAGGGGTGAGGACCTGGGCAGGTGCTGGACTGGCAGGTGAGGGGAGAGGAGGAGGGGCCGATAGGAGGACCTCAGCACTGAGGCGTAGAATCAGGAATGAGCAAGGGCCCAAGGGGGTGCCAAAGAAAGGGAAGAGGGGGACGAGGGGGAGAGATGAAACAGGAAGGGTGGACAGGAAGGCCGGGGTAGAAGAGGAAGGGAAAGTGAAAGGGAGGAATGAGAAGGGAAGGATCAGAGTCTGAAGTGAAAGAGGCACAGAACGCTCCGCCCAGGGGCCGGGAAGCAGCTCAGGGTCAGCCCTGGAGTCCTGCTCAGCACCACAGAGGAGGCCCCCAGGGTCCCAGCGCCCTGGAGCGCCTGCCTGGGGCCTGGGAGGGCAGTGACTGGAGGTCCAGCCACAACTGCCAGAGACCTACTGCAAACACCAGACTGTCACAGGGTAAGGACATCCAGGTGTTTACATATAAAGCACATGGTGCCCGGAATATAGAAAGTTTCCATTAAGCTGGGTGCGATGGCAGACACCGATAAACCCAGCTCCTCCGGAGGCTGAGGCAGGAGGATTCTAAGTTCGAGGCCAGTCTCAGGAATTTAGAGAGGCCCTAAGCAACTTAGTGAGACCCTTTGTCACAAAAAAAAAAAAAATGAAAAGGGCTGGGGATGTAACTTAGTGTTCAAACACCCCTGGTTTCAACTGAGTTCCCAGTACCACCAAAAAATATATATATATAGTATTTACTATTATTTAAATGGATGAGCAGCTAAAAGAGGGACACCACCGGCGCCACTGTGTCTGTGGTCAGAGATCATCACGCTCATTGGCTGTGTGATGTGGAGCAAGTGGCTTAACCTCTCTGTACCTCTGCCTGCAGCTGTAACCCAAGGATAAGGGCGCCTCCCTCCCAGGCGGGCTCGAGGATGACGCGGGATACTGCGTGTGAAGAGCTCAGAAAAGAGTTCCAGTCACAATGAAGGCGCGGTCCCCACCATCATCACCACCGCCTACCTTAGGCAGAACCAGAAATGGCCTCCCCCTCACCGGCAGCCAAACTAACTAGCCTAGGACACAGTGGCCTGGGAACTGGGGGGGTTGGCAGCAGCTGGCGGGGAGAGAAGACCATCCACTTGTCCCCAAGCCCAGGGGCGTGTGGGCTGCAGGCGCCAGGCTGGGCTGGGGAAGAGCCGGCAGGAGAGCTGAGGTGACAGGTGGCCCGGGGACCTCTCAGGGTCAGTGCGTCAGGGGGAGGGGAAGTGGGCACCGTGGGCCGCTTTCAGGTCTGGCTTGAAGCAGCAGCTCCCGGCTGATGTGCATCGGCAGCCCCCGCAGGGCTGTCAGAAGCCGCCGGCCCTCCCCTAGGAGCGCTGCTTTCTAGAACATTCTCTGACATGTCCTCCCGCCATGCTGCTGGCCTGGAGCCCCCTAGAGACCCACTGGTTAGGAGACAGGGCTGGGCACACCTGTCGGACTGCAGTTCTTCGTGTAGGAGTGCGTGACCCTGGTGCCTCTTGCCATTTCTAAAACTGGAGTTTAATCCCTGTCCCCAGGCCAGCTGTGTGGCTCCCACCAGGACAGGGTGGCAGAACTGCTGGTTCCGGCCGGCAGGGGTCCTGAGCCCTGGGCCCGCCCCCTCCGAGGCCCGCCCCCTCCGAGGCCCGCCCCCTCTACTGCCCCAGGGGTCAGCAGGGTCCACGGCCACA